GCGTTCTTCAACGTCCGTAACAAATGGTAGTCAGAAGGAGTAAGGTCTGAGCTATAAGACGTGTGAGTCAAAACTTCCCAGCCGCTGTTTTCCAAATATTTTTTGAACGATTTTTCAACACGAAGTCAAGCGTTGTCATAACGGAAAATTCCTTGCTTTTGAACATTTTCAAATGGCTAGCTAAATTCTGCGAGCTCTTCTTGTGATTGCCAACAATCTTCATGAATTAATGCTTCCAGTTCCTCGTCTTCAAACTTTTTTGGCCGCCCAGGACGTTGTTTGTCGGCCAAGCTAAAACCACCACTGTTAAATAATGCATACCCTCTTTTTCTCGTTCGCTCAGCTTGAGCATGGTTACCATAAATATCCATCAAAATACGACGATAGCGTAAACAACAAAAACACTTTATCAGGCGGAGAAAAAATAGTTTTTGTTATTTACGCTTCAAATGAGTCCCATATAATGGACTTAGATGAATATTTCAAAGATTTTCTAATATACGAAGGTGTACTGAACACAAATGTCAAACTTATGAGTTTACTTTGACAGCTCTATACAGCTATTTGTCTATTCTATATAGTTAAAAAAAATACCCTGTACATTTCATTTTAATCTTCTTGTAGGCTTCTAACGATTTCGTAACCGCTGCCGCAATACTTTCATATTCCGCCGTTTTGACGGCCACAAAGTCAACAACCCTAATTTAGTAATGTACATGGATATGGGTATCAAATATTTATGTAGATCTGTATACCATATATAAATTTAGCATTATTTAATTAACGATTAGAAATAATTCATATGTCTCATTAGTGTTCAAATATATGTGTGTATTTTATTTACGATGTGCGCATATTATATTTTATCGCATCGTCAGTTGTCAGCAATACATGAGTATACATTAGGGTCGGCCGAAAATCCGTTTTTTTAGAATTTTCATTATTAATACCGAAAATATTTTTCTTTGTTAAAAAAAAAATATTTTCAAGAAAAAAAAATTTTCGGTCGACATTTTAGGTTTGCCAAATCCAGTTAAAATTAAAAGTCTTTGAAAAATTTTTTTCTTACATTATATCGATCGGAAATTTAATTCTCTACAAAAAAAGGTCCTATAGTAAAGTTACGTAAAGTTGATAGCTTCTGAGATAATTGCGATTTTCCTCTAAAAAATGAGGTTTTTCAATATGGTATTAATTTTTCTAGATGAAAAATGTATGTGATCTTATTATTTTCATAGGGAATTCTATTTTCTACTGCATAAATGTAAAAACAATTTTTCTAGAGTTGTTTGTTACTGAAATAACGACCATTTCGCTATAAGGTAAGAAAAAAATTTTCCAAAAACTTTTAACTTTAACTGGATTTGGCAAGCCTAAGATGTCGACCGAAAAATTTTTTTTCTTGAAAATATTTTTTTTTAACAAAGAAAAATATTTTCGGTATTAATAATGAAAATTCTAAAAAAAACGGATTTCGGCCCATTAATGGCTAATGTATACTCATGTATTGGCCCACCCTAGTATACATACATATGTACATACCTACATGTTGTATTCGCATTAGTACATATGTACATAGGTATCAATATAATATAATATATTCGATAAAGCTTTCAAGTGCCTCTTATGAAAGTCGTGAATGAATTTCAGCATTTATAAGGAAACCACACAATTTTCGTTTACGAGTACAAGTTGCTTATTATTAAAATTAAATAGTATTAAATATTGTTATAGTCGAAGAAAATATTTATTTAAATTGTGTTTAGTTTTAAAAGCTTTGCGTGGTGCTTAAAAGAAATTTTAAATAAAACATTACGTAAATTTAAACAGATAAATTTGATATCCAAAAATGAGGCAAACTGAAATTTGTATTTTTTGTTTGAAAAATTAAATAGAATATCTGTGGCAACCCTATTAAAAATTATTTTCAGCAATAATCTTTTTTTCTATTGCATAACTTAACTATTAAGTATTCTTTGTATTGATCAACACGCTCTTAAAACAACCCTAAATGTAGACAACATTAGCTACAGTACAAAATATTTATATGCAAGTATGTAGATCGTTGCCTACATTTAGGCACGTTATACGGTTTAAGTCTTAAAAAATAATGTAAATTATTGATTTTTTTTTCTGAATTTCAAAACAGGCTTTTTAAAAATAAAAAAAAAATATGCAAGTGGCAATTTCTTTCAACTCTTGTAGATAAATTCTAATGTAGACAACTGTACCAAGGTTTATAATCTCAAATTTATTTTTATTTTTTTTAATCATTTACTTACTCTTCCTTTAACCACCTTAAATATAAAAATATTCTCTTAAATCATTTTTGGAATCAACAAACCTACAGTAGAAAAATATCAGAATATGCCCTTAGTTACCTAATTCCCGCTTAATTATCGTCCATTAATTTCGAGCACGTTCGTTTGATGACACATAAATAAGAAACGCCATTTGACTTTAGTTCATAGTCCAAAGCTAAAGTTAAACAGATAAGCGCATAAATCAATATTATTTCTACAAATCACCATTATAGGAATAAAGGCGATTGTGTGTTTGTATTTGAAAGTCAGTCTAATATAAATTGAGACAGTCGCACTGTGCGAGGGTAGTTCGATAAAACAGTAATAAGATTTGTTTTATTAAAAAAAAATTAAAATAAATTCCTTCTAAATACATTTAGTCCAGTGATTCTTGATAATAGTTTTTAATCAGATCAACCTAAATTCCCCGATTCCTTCCCGATCCTTTACAACACTTCTTACGATTTGAAATTACTTAATCCTTCTTGTAGTTTGCTGCCCCGATTATACGATCTTAACCCCAAACTTTCGTGCTTCTAATCATTATCATATCTTGTTTAAATTTTCGTAATATTTAGTCTTATAACTGTCAAATTCGCCTAGGATTTCGATGTGTTATCCAGAAGGCAAAAGTGATACACCATCATACTCAGATTATCAAAAAAGTCAGTTGTGAATCATCTGGCTCTGGAATCAAAACCTACAGCTGTTGCATAACTCTGATTCTAAGAGCGACCTAAACCAACTAACATAAAAAGAGTTTTATTTAGTAGTAGTCAGTGCTGGGTAAGCGAGTTTGATCCCACAAGATGGCGTGGATAACACTTAGACTGTTATGTACAGTTCTTTGTGAAGTCAAATAAAAACTCATGTAGTTGAATATCAGCTATCGACCAGCATCTTGAACTTTGGCAAGCGAAGGTAAGAACCTTTGAACTTATTTCAGCTATATAGGTCTTGGGTGAAGATGTAAAGCTGGTACATAGACTCCTCCACTTGTCGAATAATGTCGAGGCGTAAAAATTAATGTAAGCATATACTGATGCTTCAACCAATTGCTCAGTTATAAAACCGAAAATTTCCAACACTAGTAATCGCAATTACTTAGAACCAAGTTGAAAAATGTTCCATCTTTAAATGTGGTTTTTTTTCATTTAATGAAGGTACAAAGCATTCGTTATAAAAAAGTTAATATTGAAAAACATATTTTAATGAAAGAAGCATGTTAAGCGAGAAATAACTCCTTGAAGTGGTATAGAAAAATTGTCGAAAATTTTGATTTTTTAACCTTAAGACGTTTCGGAGATACCTGCCAGAATTTTTTATTTATAAAAATAATAATGCAGACTGAAGTTTGATTAAAGCTGGTACATAGACTCCTCCACTTGTCGAATAATGTCGAGGCGTAAAAATTAATGTAAGCATATACTGATGCTTCAACCAATTGCTCAGTTATAAAACCGAAAATTTCCAACACTAGTAATCGCAATTACTTAGAACCAAGTTGAAAAATGTTCCATCTTTAAATGTGGTTTTTTTTCATTTAATGAAGGTACAAAGCATTCGTTATAAAAAAGTTAATATTGAAAAACATATTTTAATGAAAGAAGCATGTTAAGCGAGAAATAACTCCTTGAAGTGGTATAGAAAAATTGTCGAAAATTTTGATTTTTTAACCTTAAGACGTTTCGGAGATACCTGCCAGAATTTTTTATTTATAAAAATAATAATGCAGACTGAAGTTTGATTAAAG